AAAGCTGCTTTCTTCAGCCACGTTCCTTTACTAGAACATCTTATATCATCCAAAGAGCTTCTTTTGCTCCCTTCCTGACCTTCCCTCTTTCGAAATTTTTAGGGTTGATATGGTGGAAGTAGAGACCCTTGAAAATGCCAACGACCGATATAAATCCATCAAGCAGCTGTGACGTTTGCAAACATGGAACAGGCTAAAACCGTTACGTAAAGGTCGTCGTACGTCGGGGCAGATGTGCGAACTGTTTTGCATGACATACCGTTTGCTTTTAATGATCCGCCCGTATCCAGTTCTCTGTCGTGTTCAGACCTAATTCGAACGCGCTTCATGAAGTATGAACAGCATACAAGTTTTTTTTTCCGCCTGCAGCTTGAAACGGGTCCGAGCAACTCGATTACACACTTTGGCGTTGACTCATCCCGAATCCTGATGGTCGGCCCTCAGTTTTAAACTAGTTTTCCCATCGTTCCTCTCCGTTCGGACAAAATCTCCTCGCATCGAACACTTCTTGCTACAATCGCCATCCTGATTCGTGTGGGAGATTAGCTAAACAACGCTGACGCTTTCTTAAGTGGACACATCCATAGATGCCATCAGGGCCGAATGCATCATAATTCGAGTTTTTTCCTCAACAAGATCCCCAAATAACGTGGTACGGTAGGGGTACGATCGTAAAATATCTGTTTTTTTTTATATTTTGTCACAAAATTTCATGGTTTGAGTGATTTTGTTCTGCTCCCCACCACCCGTTTGCTGTTTCCTCGTCTCTGTGCATAGCGACCGTTCGATTATACTGGACCCATATGAGAGGGATAAAGAGTTGACAAATGGCTTACAGTAATAGTGGGTTGGAGTTGTGCTCTTCACCTCCGATATGAGTCTTACCACCACTCAAAAATCGCTGCGATCCGGATGCACTGCGCATTCCGTGGAAGTTGACCTAAATGAAATCTGTGCTGAAATGCGGTTTTACAAAAAGATCTACTTCAAAAACCGTCTTCATTCAAACCAGGGAACTCCGTTCGTTTTGGTTACTTTCTATCACTCTGGCCAAAGCCCAGGTGTCCGCCCAGGGCTGCCTCTCCATGCAAATTCCTATTGGAGGCTTCCATTCCCACGATAATGTGAAAAGGCTCTATTTCTAATTTACGTCATTTCGCCTTCCTCTTCCACTACAAATTGATTTTGGGATTTGCTGTCTTGTCGGGATTCCAAAGAAACGAGACGAGCATTGGGAGGATTGGAAAAAGATTATCAAAAGATTTTCATGGATTTTTAACAATCCCTCTACTAACCCTCACACGATAGCATGAATAAGTAGAGTTTGACGGAGAGATTTTCTGTATGCCCACGAAATGCTCTGACTCATAAGCGGTTTTTACACTGACCTGAGTCAGCGATAAAGCCTGCTCAAAAAAGTGCTCCAAAAATTGCATAACTGGCACCAAACGCCCCTACCGCACTTGATTCTAGCTATACCTTTAAAATAAGTCGATTTTTTTAAAGGTTTGTAGAGTGCAACAGATTTCGAGCGGTCTGCGAAACAAGTGATACAAGAAGCTCAGCCGGGAGACGGGCGGTAGGAACGGTTTCGCGCAATCGATCCACCGCACGCGGCTGTGGTGGACCATTTGCCTCGTTATAACAGTTATAGCGTTCTTCATACAGCTCAATTGCTATGTGATTATTAATTTTGGCATGATTTTGTTCCTGTACGACTTACTTGCTGCTGCATTCTGCTACATTCCTTCGCGCGCGGCGTCTCTTTCGCCGCGACGCGACAATTTCGTTCCTACTGCACCACACCCAGCTCAGCCCGCCGTGGCTCGCTGCTACATACTAACGCTCGTCACCTCGCGCGACAAAATCGCTCGGCGACCCTAAGGCGCAAACCTTGCGTGATTAGGCAGAAGACCGTAGAGTAGGGGATGGCATACACGCTAACAGGAATTGGAACAACGTATTACAGTAAAGGAGCTCTCGCTTCCTCCTTAACCTACATGGAGTGTTTTTCTTTCCTTCGAGCTCTATTGTACTCTACCGTAGTCCACTACGTCACGTCACCGGTTGGCAGAAATTTAGCCCGAATATCTGCGAAAGCGCGCAAAACTTTGATAATGGTCTCGCTCCAACGGGCGTGGGTTTTTTCCGCGAAATCGCGTCGCGATCGCTGCTCCCGACCGCGCGCACTGCGCGCTACGAAGGGAAAGGTTTGAATTCCCAGTAGGTGGATACGGTTACCGTGGGACTTCGGGGAGAAGTACCGCCGCCCAGTTCCGCTTCAAATCCCTACCGTAATCAGGTGCGACAACGCGACAAGCCGATGCATAAATTCCCACACCTGACGTGACCTCTTCATCTGACAGATTCGATGCCTAGAAGCCGACAATCGCACATCCTCTTATCGTGTCATGGGCCTTCCCCAATCAATTTGCCGGACGAGTGGATAGATTACATTCACTGCCAGTAGTTTTTTAACCGTAAATTATCCACTCACCTGTTTTCATGGGAAATAGCTCAATTAAAATGTCAGCGACCGGAATAGATGTCCATAGCCTTTTGAGCACTGGATAGGCCTTCAGAGGCTCGGTAGCATCAGATTTCGTATAGTGTTTGATACCAATCGACAATCAGGGATCTTGCCGTGGACCACTCTTTTCTTCTATTTTCTATTTCCTTTTCGGATAAATTTAGCCTACTGAAAAGTGTAGGTGTGGTACACTGTCTCTTGTCTCTGGTAGCTCAGCCACAGGGTTACTACAATTGTTGAGAGAGCTGTTATAGCGCAACATTTCTTAGAAAAGAGGTGCGCTTCGTTACGCGCGTCCGTCCGTCGCAGCCGTCGCATGCGGCGTGTCAGCCCGTGATCTTTGACAAAAGTCGCACTTGTCAGCAGTGCATACCAATTGCGCTCGGTCCACGGCAGTCAGCTTGAAGTGAAGATAACACGGACTAGTGCAAATCATCCGTTCTATTGGTATTTAAGGGTACTGTAATGCCACCTCGGGATTGCGATGGGATCTGCCATGCACGTAGTGGGCGGAATGAGCTAGTTTAGTCGGACCCCGGAACGAGCGTTCCCACCAGAGGAGGTAGAAGAGAACAGCATTTGATGCTCAATATCTTTTTCGCGATCATACGCAAGCATTAGAGCTGACAAGCAGTGGACGTGAATTGCGTGGACAGCTTCGATACCACTGCTATGCCCTACCTGGTCGTTTACTCCATTTTCATGAGACAGTTCTTCGTATACTATCAGTATCTTAGCAAAAAAGCAGAGTTTGTCACAAGTCTCAAGAATCGACAAGGCGTTCAAGCTTCCGCATGCGATGTCCACGGACCCTATGATGGAAACTCTCCATGACTGTAACTCTAACTTTTCTCTTGGTCAACGATTATTTACTGAGTTCTTGCCATTAGCTCTGACCACTGAATCAAAATTGAGCATGGGCAAGTCTTTATATGTAATGTCATAGCTCAAGTGCTCATTCAAATGCATCTACAAGTTTGGGTGAACTGTAAATGGGAGTCCATTCAGGTGGCCTTCAGTAAGCCAATTTCATGCAATCGGGCTAAAGAGACTGTATTTGGATAACCAGGTTGAAGCAGGGACTTGGAGTTAAAGCGATTCGCAAGTCAGGGACAAGTCGAAATTTGCTCCAACATTAGGTAGTCACAGTAGAACCTTTGTTCGACGCTAATCCTTTGAGGAGAAAGAAAGTTTTAACGTGGCTTTGCGAATGTTTTCGGCATCTTCACGATTCATTGGCTTTTTTCCCAAATTCGCATGCATGGCGCATCTTAAAAAAGTTTCAGAAAATGCCAATAAATTAATATGAAGTTGTTTTATTCATATCAGCCCACTCATCTGTATTAAATATTGCTCAGCATGTTTCTCACCATAAGGATATTCCGCTTCCTCTGCCCTATAATGGATGATGTAGTTCAATAGAGGTCTTTCATTAGCGAAAAATTTTTTAAAAAATAAAGCCACTCCCCTATCCATTACACACCTATTCTCCACAGCCCTTTAATTCAACTACTCGTACAACATAACATCAGGGGTGCGATTGATTAATCGGTTGGCCTTTAATCGGGCAACGACCTTCGTTGGTGAAGGCGCACTAGAAGAGCACAGATCAGGTACGGCAACGTCTGATTTCTCCAGCGGGCAGGCAGGAAACGCATTTGTCCGGTTATTATCCCGATTTTTGCTAGAGCGACTTCCTTTCTTCCCATTTGAAGCCAATTCGTAGCGAGATGAACATTTTCAAAGTTAGCCCGGCGATAGGGAGGATTGGTCAAGGCCGAAAAAAGGCCGAGGCCGTAATCGATATAGTCACATAGCGCGGATTTCGTTAGAACGAGCTCCTAACCACTATTTTTATATTTCTATACATTTTTCAGTGAGTATTGCGGCACTGTAGTTTAATCCTATCCAATAAGGACCCCGTGATAATAACGCCTCTGAGACCAAGACGTGGATGGTGCAGTGCCAAGCAGCGCCGCCCCTAGCCATATGGTCAGAGGATCGAATTTCGAGTCGATGCAGAATCTAGTGGGCTGGATTTTGATCCCCTGAGGTCGGCTGGTTATGAAACAGCTCCTCTGGGAGGCGAAAAGTCGTCCGCCTAGGTAGTGGTGGTGCAGTGCAAGCGGCGCGCTATCATGCGCACGATCCGAAGATCGAATCTCGCTTTGATACCCGTTCTGGCGACAAACCTTTCATCCATTCGGGTTCAGGTAGTTGGTATCAGACAGATTTAAGACAATAAAAGCACTTACTTGTACATCAGCTAGGCACCGCGAATTATTGTATAAGCCACGTACACTTACAATTTTGAATGGAAATCAAAGCGGGGCGCATCATTAAAGCGGCTCAAAATGAGACTAAGTAATATAGACAACTCCCTATTCCCTCTTAGAAGCTGTCAGATGATTTTTCTTGAATTCATAAAAATCCCAACCGTCCTTTTCTCTAACTACTACCCATTTCAGCGTTGCACACGGACAAGACCGAATCCTACTACGTACAGTGCACGGTGATCTTCGCCTCTCTGATCGTCTTCCTGGCCTACAACTGTTGGCAGGCTGCTCTCTCCGTCTCCTACCATGAACACTTACGAATGCAACGTAATCCAGCTTTAGCCAAACCCACAGTACTCATTGTCAATAAGCCTCTTTATTGAGCTTTAACCTTAGCGAGAAGGGATGAATCCCACACCCTTGGATCAAGTTGAGGATATACATTGATCCTGACCCCCCTAATCTATCTGTGTCAACTCGAGCAGTTACCGGTGGCATATCTGCGAGGGTCCTAATCCTCTAACATTTCCTTCAGTTCACTTCTTATGTGGCTTTACTTGCTATAGCTATCGATTGTTTAGATTTTTACGCTCTTTAAGAGATTCGATCTCTTGTTTGGAAACTGTGAAGACATTATTAACTATATGGTACGGTATTATTGAAACAATATTTAATTAATCGACTGTTCATCGACCTCACCAAACTACATACTTCAACGACGAAGAAAAAGAAAGGCTCAACAAAACAAAATTAGAGTAAAAAGTATCAAATGGTATATATAACAATCATCACAATGTACACATAGGGTCAGAGACCTACAAATTCACCGTATGCGAGATAGTAAAATGTGATGTTCAATTGATGAGGATTGGATTTATGCATTGAGTGTTAGAGGAAGTGCTGCGAATAAGGAAAAGCGGAAATCGTATGCGTGTGCGTGTATACGACGTACGTACGTGATGTGGTACGACAGAAGAAGGGAATCAGACACTATAACATTCCGAGGTGGTCGGGGAAGGGTTAAAGGCTTGATCGATTGCAAGCATATATAATGATACTGCGGTACGAGGAGATCATGGACGACGGAAACGCGCGTAAAGTACCACGGCAAGGCACACCTGCCTCTCATATTAGTCAAGTGGAAATGACGGGTCAAAGATCATCAAAGTAAAAATCGAAATCGGACCATACACAATAGAACATCATAGATGGCGTATATCGCCTTTACAAAATACCACCAACGTCCCTCTCTACCGACATATTACAAGTACTTTCAAGAAGTTCATCCCGCAGTCGCCACAAAGCACGCACAACGTCTTCTTCCCGAGCGATCGGTCGTCCACGAGATTCCTTCAGAATGAGAAACACCCAATTAATTGAAGTCGAATATAAAATGAAGACAGAACAGAGAACAAACAAAGCTCACTCTGATCCAATGCGTCGGAGGCGGCCGGGCCGCATTTGGCTGCGCATTACGTGGGTTCGTGCTCAGCGATGTGTCCCATTTCGAGACAGTGCGCTGGCGATTCGATGAAAGGGACTCGATATACCTGAAATGTCATTACAAAATGACGTTTTCAATAATCAATTAATGCGTTCGAAATAAATTCAGCACACAACACTCAATTCATCACAATACTGTATCGCAAAAACACCCTGTAAGGGGCTCTCACACCCTGAAGTAAACACAGCTGAAAAGTGATGATTTTCTGACTTCATCAATTTTCTATCAAGTTTTAGTTATACTACAACTGGCTTCGCACATTTTCCATCTGATCATAAAAATGAAGCTACCAGCTCTTCTCAGTAAAAACGAAGCAGGTGCTAGCCATAACAGATGCCTACGTAAAGTCATAAATATTGGGAAAAAGGAGGAGCTTCCTCTTTCTTTTACAATTCTCATGAGCACAATTTCAAGATGGAAAATAATAGCGGGAACAAAAAAATATCATTAAAAGGTTTTCCGAAATAGTAGCAAACACACCTAAGATATGTCTCCGAATGCAGCACACGACGCGCGTGAACAGACGAAGGCGGTGCCACAAACACTGGATCTACTCCCTGAGATTTCACGACGGTACGACCAGCATCAGTGATTGTTGGCACAGCCATAGATGACGATGGCTGAAACGTACACAGCACAGTGAGTGGAGATCCCAAGCAAATGTTATGTAGACTGTTACCATGGGTCCTTGTGAGCATGAAGGCGTAGCTTGATGAGCGACTTGCGAAGGCATTTGAGCAGTAGGAGGTGGATGTGGTTGCTGCATTTGTGGCTAGAATATTGCTATTGAATTGGAGTGAGCCATCGCTAACAGGATGATCAACTTACGGGATAGTGATGTTCACCATTGAGGTGAGGAGGCGCTGCATTCGCATGACCATTGACATGAGGAGTCTGAGGAGTTGAAGGCGTTTGGGACAGTTGGGCTAGACCTCTTCCGTACGGAATGTGAACAAGACTAGTCGTCTGGAAGTATGAACAACCTTTAATTTCCAAGCAACCACCTATTTCATCAAATCAAATGTAAAAAAAACACATACGGTCTCTCCATTTGGCGTGGATTGAGTCGATAGCTTGAAAAAGTTCTTTCCGATTTGATTCGCATAAACGCTTTTCATCGCGGTGGCAAGATGCTTTTCCTAAAAACAGTATTCTAAGGGCCCTACATCTGCATTCGAATCCTTAATATCATAATCGAAACCACAATGGGGACCATAGATCAACGACCTAAACAAAGAATTTTTTTGCTCTAACTTTGTCTCACCTTCATATGACGGTGGAGGCGAGGTAGAGATGGGAACGGCTTTCCGTCCTTTCTGTTTCGAACGCACGTCACCCACATACATACGTACTGCTGTTCGCTGTCCACTAAACAAGAAATATGAACTTTCTCACTTGGTGAACTGGTAATTTACAGAATCTTAGAAAAAAAGCGCAACGAACTGATGATTTGACTCGTGTGGTGCTGTACAATGTGTTCATATAAACCATTTTCGCTATCAAATTGTGAATCACAGTTGATCCATTTGCACTGATATATCCGAATCTGGCCAGGCTGAAACACCCAAGTATCGCAAAAAAAAAGGTTTCAATTTAATAAAGGGTACTCCATCAAAGAAATTTTCCAATAAAAAACATGAAGTGAGAGGATGCCCGATGAGATGCTGAATCTCACCTGAAGCGTTTTCTCAGTAGCAGCTCTGGCCGCTTCTTGCTTTGCACGTTCACTCGCTATGTACTCTGCACGAACCTCGTACTGCCTTTTCTGATCGTCCGACAACTTTTTCCACTGAAACCAAATCATTAAATACACTTCTTGTAATGTTGAATGGATGGATCTAATAAGTTTACGTGTTTTCCATATTAAACGCTTACCTCAATCCCTACAATCTTCGATACTTCACCAAAACCTGAATCAGGATTCTCGTGCATTATTCGTTTTCGTATTTCAGCCGAGAAAAGAATGTAGCCAGATTTACTCTTCGCCGTCAACTTCGGCTGTGCAGCTAGCCAATTCGACATGAGGCCAGACTGAAAATTAGGGTTAATTTATTACATTTAGTACACATGCTTTTCTTTGTTGGAGACTTCAAGTAAAATTTCAAAACAGGAACGTCCTAAGGGAGTTCTAAAAAGCACATCCAAATCCTACACTGAGAAACGCTGCTACAACTATATGTAACGGCTAAGGAGAGGGTCACCCCTGTAGGCATTTATCATGGTATTTGCTGACGGCTATTCAGACAATTCTAGCATGTTTGCCCTGAGCCGGCCTTATCCTTTGTTGGCATGACTCAATAATGACCTATTTCTCTATCGATTAAAGAAAAATATATTCCGTTCATAGTACAGCATACAGGCACCGACTTATGATCTATGATTCCCAGCCTCGCCGCGCACTTTATCCCCGCCCTCGCAAAAACTTCACCACAGTGCTGCTGTAATTACCATAGAGCGCTTCCCTTTACCTATTCAGTCACCCCACCTCCTTATCGTATTCCCCTGCTAGTAAATTACGTAGGCGGAAGCGTCACTGATCTCTATTATAATACTCATGAATCTCAGTCATTTCTCACTGAACGATTAAAAACTGCCTACAAAGACTCTGTTTTGTGTAAAGTAGAAAATCAGTAACCACTTTGCTTGCGGTTGATTCTGTTCCATCGGTATCATTCTCGTCAAGTTCCATATCCAGTTCAGAAGGACCGTTCGATCCGTTGTGCACCAATGGCGACATCTCCTCAAATAAACAGTCTTAACTGGTGTCGCTCATATCTAGGAAGAATTATCACCTCAACCATTGATCACTTAAAAAGTTAGAGCGAAAGACTGGTTCAAGCTCAAACACACCAGCAGAAAAGCGAACTATCAGATAATCCCCCCACACCACTTAGTTTTGCATGTCACAGTAGTGACGTCAGTGACACAATAACGGGAACGAGATGTGCAGCGTGAAACGCTCACGTCACGCATTGCAACGATGTCTTACCTTTTCCATAGTTATTGGTGTCTTGAAAATAAAGAGCTCAGCATCCGGCAGGCGTGCGCCTTTGTATTGCTGAAAAATACGATTGGGCATGAATCATAGACACGAAACACAGAGATATCAGTGCTTAGAGAGCCAAAGCATAATCAAACGAGATGAATACGAGGAATACAGGAGGAATCGAGCTCAAAGGTCACAACGACGGGCAGGCGAGCGGTCAAAGATGAACGAAAGCAAAAACGCAAGGAGCGGCGCCGTATACAACAACAATTTCCACGCAGAGTGCATCGGGTTCGGGAAGCTGATAGGGGATCCGCCAGTGCACGGCTGTGGTGGCGGGCGGCCGCCGCGGTGCTACCCGTCCAGCATCGGCGGTGAGCGAATCGCCAGCGCGACGCGAAGCAAAATCGCAGCGACAACGAGTCGCACACGCTGAGCACCACGTCGCCTTCGCGACCGTCCGCCAGACCTTCACACGACGCGTAACGACGCTGCCCGCCACCACCATCTGTCGCCCTCCACAACGCAGGCAATGCCTCTCTCGCGCCCTGCCGCCCTAGTTCTCACACCATCTGCTGCTGCCTCTACCACCCACTGGGACTCTCCTCCAACTCATGTTCTCTCTGCTCCAGCTACCGCTCTATTCTCTCTCCCAGCACCCATTGCCTGACCTCGTATTCCGAATCGATGGCCTATCGTGCAAACAGCCGGCCTCCTATTATTTGTGCCCCAACTGGGGGACGAGGCTGCGTCTCTTCGATACACGCACTCGCTCGCACAGAATTATAGCGTCGGTTAGAAGTTGCGACAAGTTATAAACGCTTCGACAGAAGGACTCCATCATAGCAGTTGAAAATGCCTCGAATGTTTCCCCCTCTTGTCATTGATTCGAAACTTAAATGCGTAGACATCAACTTGAACACCTCCTCATTACCAACTTTTCACCCACCCACTGAAGCGGCAGTCGCAGCTCCGATCGCCGAAAGGCGATTGCCTTTCTCGATGAAGCCCCGCCCATGAAACTTTTCCCACGCCCTGCCACGTCTTTCCCACGCTGCATCAACACGATTGCATGAGCTTCGAATGTAGATGCAAGCGCCTAGACTTTTAGTGCCTTTCAACATAGAAATCGATGATTAAACTCACCTTGAATTTTCGAAGAGGCTTAGCCGAATCTATATGCATTGGAGCGCTACCATTCAACGGATCATAGTTCTCGTCATCTGCGGAAGTCTAAAACGAACGTTGATAAGAAAACGCTAGATATGAGAATACTATTACAAACTTTTTCCGAAGGCTTGGTGAAGAGAGAGGAAGGTTCCCCTTTTGCGAAGGAAACACCAGGAACACGTGATTCGCATACAAAAACATCGCACTCGGGAATTTCAGTTGGCCGCTCTGATAATATAGATTTTATACGAAGATCAAATACAACACATTATACATTCATTAGCAATACCTTTCACGAATTCCTTCGGAGTGAGAACAGCACAGTGACTTTGAATGTCTTCGATGCGCCTTGTTTGATCTGGCTGATCGACGGCGAACACTTCTCGCACATAGAAAGTTCGTCCACAGTCATGTTGGATTTCTGACGGGCGCGCCAGCCAACCTCCGCTGAACCATTCACTTCCGCTGAAACAAAATTGGTCTATGCACAAAATTTAAAGTTGTTTTTCCATCAACACCAACTCCTTCTCTCTCCACAACTTGTCAACACGCATAACGTCGCATGTAGGTTTCTGTGGATTGAACACAAGCACGAACTGCCCAACGTCATGATATTTCCCACTATGAGTGCGCATCGCATGAAGATACGTTCGCCCATCAGCATCGGCCTCAGCACGAGCAGGAATCTGCAAATGTTAGGATGATGGACCATTTTTTCTGTCAAAGGGTTCACCATTTTACCCGTACCTCAGGTCGATCAATGTCAAGGATCACTGAGTCTCGCAATCGGTCGTCCTCTTCCGAACTTGACGACGAATGCGTTTGAGACTTCTATAAAAAGAAGGTTTGATTTAGGACTTAGAGGAAATCTTTGAGCGTGAGATAGTGAGGTGGTTGAAGGATAATATTTATCAATCTAAAGGACTAGAATGTATTTAATAAATCGTAGTAACTCGAAAAATTTTCGAGAGAAGGGCATGCATCAATATTGCATCACAATAGGTAGCCGTTGAATGAACTAATAGATTGTTGAGCTTGCTACACCGTACCATAAACCATAAACCCCGGATCAGTAGAAAAGAGAAAAAATACTCCACGCTAAATCAATCAATAAAACCAAAATATACTCTTTGCTTTTGTTATCAACTGTTTACCACCCCTTCAAATGCATATATATTCACAACGCATGATGTAAATCTTCGATGCAGTTTTTCTTATGACAAGCTCGCGATTCATATTTGCGACCCGAAGATGAAGAAGCAGATGAAGTGCTTATTGTTGGCACACTTACTGTAGCAGCCTGCCCTTTCTGCGCTCTACACTTCACAGATAATAAGGATGCAACAACTTCCGGGTTTTATTTGTGATTCTTCACCTTTTTTACTATAAAGGTTATTAAGTGGTGGAAATTGCTCACAATTTGGTGCGGAGTCATGAAAAATGTGCAAAAACAATTTGTAAATTTTTGGAATGTTCTGGAGTAATCTAGTGAGTGATGTTACCAGCCAAATGCCAGTCCTTGAAACTTACCCATATTCAACACAATTTACCCACATAGGGAAGAAAAAGAGCAACATGACTGCACTTACCTCGTCGTCTTCTCTGTCAGCCACGCCATCAACATTCATAAAATTGCTAGTCACACGTACAGGAGAGAGGGGACGTGACCTCGAAGTAAGTTTCAGAGAATCCTCTTCTCCGGGAAACGGCCAGCTCTGAACATATTAATAATTGAAAATGAATAGTGCCTATAACAGCAATAGCAATACCTTCGACCATAATTTACCCGCGAACTTAATTTATAACATACCTTGAGTTTCGCGAAATAACGCGGCTTTCCAAGATACCGACATTCACAGACGAACAAATCTGTTGGGTTTATACCCTCCACTACATTATGCATTGCAACTTTCACAGGGACAACCATACACTTCCCACACAACCTTTCTGCTAGCACGGTATCTATGAATGGCGTTATAAAAACCTGAAAGTAAGCAATTAAAGTAACTAAGGAAGGGAAAGGAAATGGAACAAGAACAAAGTGATACCTCATTTTCAATGAACTTTCGATTGGCCAAATGCAAGGTCTCATGCGGCCTATACACCCACTTTCCTCGCACCATCATCTCACCAGTGTCCGTTCTAAAAAAATAGCAAGGAATTAGACAGGCTTGATTATTTCACTCAGAAAAAGTATAGTAACAATAATCACTTGAAAATCCGCTCTATACGCATTATGTGTGGCGGAGCTCGCGAATTGTCGTCCGTCCGAGTGATATAAGCGTAGGACGGTGTGATATACTCGACGCCATCAAAGTTGAGTGAATCCAGGTCCACTTCACCTTCCTGCAAAAAAAGTTCCCGTAATATAATCGAGTCGCTAACATGACCATTTGAAAAAAGTAATAACGAGTGTTAACAAAGTGAAAAATGAATGCAAATAGGCACCTGTTTCTCGATCTCTTGGTCATTGCTCTCCCGCCGCTGAATCTCAGCTTCCTGATGCATTTTGGACTTTCTTAACTTCTCAACAGCCTCCACAACATGCTAAAAAGAAAAAGAAGCATTTGTAGCATGAAAATGAATATTGCTGGCTAGTCATTACGTTTTCTATGGCGATAAATGCTGTTGAGACAAGAACCCCTTTGCATTGCGCATCGCGCTCTCGGATGAAGGCCAGTTGGAGTTCTGTCGCATCTTCGAAAAGCTGGAAATCACAAGCATAACTTAACTTCTTGAAATGATATCCCATTCAACACATTTGAAGTATGAACAAATCTAGTCCACTCTAAGGCAGAACTTTTCGAATACTCACAAAGACAAAGCGACGAGTAACAAAGACATTGAATTAGTTGATCGAATACCTTCGAATCACTGCGACTGAGCTCCCTTGCACGCTCGAAAAGATCAAAAAAGTCCTTTTGGAAACGATCGAGACGGCGATAGCGACCCTAAAAATCGGTTACAAAAATCCCTTGACCATCAAACCGACGACGAATTAAGGGAAAATCATGTAGACGAGAGAAGATGGAATACTCACAAGGAAGAACTCGCATCCAACGTACCTTATCAATATTTCTCTTGATCTGGTCCAAGGAAAATGGCCACTCATCTCGCGGAAATCCACGTGCTTTTAAAAGATCTGGGAGCTCGGCAAAGGAATCACATCTGCACCGCCCTTCTGAGTCCTTAAAGATACCAAAATTAAAATGAATAGTGAATTTGGAAACCAGAAAAAATAGAAAAAGAATTGACTGAAAATCTGCTTGGCACCTTTTGGCTAAAGACTGCCACAAAAATGTTTGTAAACATAGTGCGAATCTCCATTTGAACACGAGGCATGCAGTCTTCAGCAGCCCCAAGCTCCCGTTTCTTTTCCAACACCAGCCTTTGTAAGGCGACAGCATCCTGTGTTATGATACTATGAAGACACAGTTGCGATAATTAGAGAAATTATCTGAATTGTACCTACCTTATAGATCGTACTTTCAGGCTCATTATATTTACATGCATTTTCTAACATTAGAGATAAATCAGCAACAAGATCAATCCATCTTCCATAGCCGTGAGCTTGTAGCCGATGCTGTATTCGTTGTAGATCCATAGGCTTCCTGATTACTTCATAATAATCAGGGTATTCCTGAAATCGTCATCAATTGGAACAAGTAAAAGTCTCAAGTAATATGCGTTCTAAATCAGAAGAAGTGCTAGAAAGTTTCAGACGTTACTCACCTCTTTGGTAGGCAGCTTTATGAAGGCACCTGCAAGTTTTCTTCCATCAGCATCGGTAGCATCACGAACAAGCGTATATAATTTCCACATTTGCTGTTCATGTGCGGGAAGCCTAAAAGAAAACAACTAATGTTAATGCAATCATCTTGCAAAACAGTTCATACTGCGCGAAGAGGTAAAGAAACGCAAGAAATCGTGAAAGGAAGTAGTAAAACAAGAAAACAAAAGGCCATTGTAAGGATAGAATGTAGGGAGGAAACCACAGTGTGAAAAGTACCTTGTTATCATATCTTCAAGCTTCTTTTCGACTCTTGGAGCAGCCTTCACTTTTTGAGGAGGGGTTGGAATAGGATTTCTGGAATGAAATGTGCTTGATGTACCGTTTTAAACTTTGATGGAACCCGCAGAAACCACATGAACACTTGTTTAGGTGAAAGTTGAAACAAAAACTTTCGATCAGTCACTGACGAGCGATACACAAAAAACGGCAAGCAACATATCAAAGAAGTCTTCGTGCGAAGTTGGAGTAATTTCATGAAAAGAAGTTGAAGTGCTGGGAAGAGCATGCAACAGACTGACAACACATAAATAGGGTTAATATAGCATCTTCACCTAACAGAGGAATTCGAAGAATCATCGTCCGAGAAACCACCAGCGCCGTTAACCAGACCGTTCGCCGACTTCGCCCCACTTTTAAGAGGTTTGGAAAGTTTCGTCTTGAGCCAACTAGAGCAAGACATGGGTTACACAAGGAATCAAAGTGAGTAATTGGATTATATTCAGCTGGCGTATCACAATAACATTGTTAATGTGAGCAAAATCAAACGGTACAGAGTACAAAATAGGTTAAAGGACAAAAACATCAAGTCAAAAAGATTACTGCGGGTATTCAGATCACTAAAACTCACCCGAACTTCTGCTTCAACGCCATAGGACTTTCATAAGGAGCGTCCTTATCGGTCGCATGTGCTGTTGTGACCATACTCAACAGAACTGCAGCATCGCGCGCAATTTGGGAATTCGCCTCGTTGTATTGGCGAGCATTATTGAATAGTATGGTAAACTCTTCAATAAGCTGCACCGATGACTCGTACTACAAATAAGGTAATCAATAGGACTGGTAAGTACAAGAAAGTCGTATGTTTTGAGCAAACAAACCCTGTTGTTCTCTATCTTATCCCTAATAATTTTCATATCAATAGGATGCTCAATAACTTGATAATAATCTGGATATTCTCGAGAAGAAGGTAGTTCCATGAAAGCTCCAGCAGGCCAATATATACCAATCTATAAAAATAGGAAACAGATACAATCAATTAATGACGAAAAGCGTATGCATATTGTAGAATGCTAACTTAACAAGATATACCTTATGGTTATAAATGAGATCCCAAAAGGTCATCAACTTTTGTCGGTATCGCAGCATGAGTTCGTCCATACTTTTACGCCCAGGTCGACCGGGTAAAGATACATGCTCAGCGGTCATTCCTGTCGATATGGGCCGCATTTTCTTTGGCGAACGATACCTCTTCTTTTCTGGTGGGGGTGTGCTCTGAAAGGAAATTCATGAATGCTACTTTAATGCGGTAACTTCTCAAAGCGAACCTTGTCGTCCGAATCTGTATCTATCGGTTCCGGTTTCAAAGCCTTAGAAGTTTTCGGAGTCTTTGAAGCTTTAGATTTCTTGTCATACTGCTGAAATGTGTAACAGTAAACACCGCCAAAGTGAGTATATATTGACAGCTAAGGATTGAATTGTAGGAATAAAAATGAAATTGGAACTTGCCGAGAGATCAAGGCTTGGCTGAAGTTCACGAGCTTTTCGAATCGTTAGGTTTTGAAGCTTTTGCGCAGCAATAAAAATGTCCGATGATTCCATGTTGTACTCACACGCGTTTTCAAACACCTAGAAGCATTGTGCAGAAGCTAGATACAAGTCAGCGATTTGTTAAACAATTCTCAAAATTTTCGCTTCCACGAACCTGCATGAAATCCTTGAACAGTTCTTCAAACGAATGATAATCATTCCTCTTCAGCTTCTTATTTATCATAAACAAAGACATTGGACGAGATATTTCATCAAAATAATCAGGATAATAGCTGAAAAAAGAGAATTGAATTGACAATTTCCATTCAGCTCGTAATAAGAAATCAGAAATCAGATCTATTGCATTGGTTTAAATGAAAATGGTTATCAAAGTCACCTCCTACTAGGCAGTTCAAGGAACGGATCGGAAAGGTTCGTCTCACGGTCCTTCTCATTTGGAGCGTTACGGACCGTCCAATAAAGCTTCCATAGAGGATCCTTAATTGAGAGAAGAATAATGAGTAGCCTAAGAAACAACAAAAGTAAACAGCCGATGAAATCTCAAACTGAAACAACTCACATCACTTTCTTCAGTGTCTTCATCCTCCTCAGAATCTTCGGAGAGCTCAGCCACTGGTGGAAGCGCGGCTTGGATAAGAAGTCCATCAACCGCACGACGGACTTTGTCACGGCTGAACTCATCCATAATTAATGCAAGAATCTCTTTAAAAACAGGATAAAAAGAAAGTTTCTATAATGAAGTAAGCAAACCGCTTGGGATGAACACCCTTTTCCAGAACCAGGTCGCGCTTTTCTTTGAAGAAAGTCATGAGAGCTACGGCGTCTTTGTAGATCTCACTGCCTTTACCACTGAATATCTGCAANCGAACATCCGCCTCAACTTGAGACATTCGCTTATATAAGCCAGCTCTTGCTTTTTCAGCTATCGTTTTCAAGTCCATTGGATGGCGAATTTTCTCATAATAAACGGGGAACTCCTTAAAAAATCCAAATTGAAAACCGTCAAAATATATTCGATAATTCAAATATGTGAAATCGTTGTCACCTCCTTGCTTTGAAGAACCCGGAAGGGAGGAGAAATCAAGCGACCTGTCGAATCAGTCAATTCCAACAGTGCACAAAGAATGTCTTCAACCATCTCAGTTTCCACTTCATCCGAAGAACCATTAGATGATGCTCGAGAGCTTGGCGCAGGTGAGATTGACCTCAAAAATAAACGTTTAACTTCTATGCGATACAGATAACGAATTACAAGAAGAAGAAGCTCGATCAAAAAACGGATTCACCTCACTAAACTAATAGGTGTGGCACATCCAGAGCTCGAAGGGTCACCATCATTGACGTCTTTTTCCAGAGGTTCCCCTTTTCTAATCTTCTCTCTGGCATCTTTGTAAATTTCCAAAAGCTCTACAGCGGCTTTGTGCTCTTCAGACTCCTCCTGGATATGCATAGTAATGGATTGGTTTACAAGCGCTAATTCAAACATGAAGCAGAGTTTTTGCAGGAATTGATGTTCGCTCAATTCAAAATCATAACCATACCTTGTAATAGGTTCTGGTATTGTCGACAAGGAGTTCTACGTCTTCACAAAACTCTTCGAATGTTTGGTATTCTTCGGTCTTGAGTTTTTGTTGAATCCTCGTAAAGTCTATAGGGGACTTCACTTGCTTGTAATAATCAGGTTCTGCTCTGCAATACTAATGTATGGCAATGAAGCAAGCATTGTTGTAACCGGCTATGAAGCAATATGTACCTGCGAGAAGGAGTTCGAATAAATTTCTCCGCTAGCTGCCTATTTTCGCTGTCAGTATGTTGTCTTAGCACGTTGTAAACACCTTGCGCTTTGCGATTCTTGAAAAAGCCAAATTAAGCAGCAAAACACACAAAGCAATATTGGAGTTTCCAATCCATTATTTTACCCTATTTCGTAAAACTAAAGTTTACGCTCGCGCAAAGGGTAAGATGCACTCAATTACCGATAGCACAAATAAAAAGCATGTAGCACGCAAGATAACAAACAGTCAATCAATTTCTAGCGTTTTAAAACTTAACACATGGCAAAGTAATGTGTTTCATTACTACGTGTAGCGTTACTCAAGCCGAAACCAAAAGAGTTTCGGAAAAATTGCTTGGTACCTACTCGTAAATGAATGAGTCCGTAGAGAACTGGGTAAGCATACGGTGAAGTTGAAAAGCGAGAAATTTGAAGAGTGAGAAACTGGTTCTCATTCCAGAGAAAAGCAAAATGGAAATAATATGTAGTCCCGTATTCAAGGACTTTAGGGAGCACAATACTGTGAACAACCATTGCTTTTTCATGGGAGAGAATAGTAATTAACAGCAAAAGGTCGAAGATGTTGAGTAAACATATAAATTGGTAAGAAGCACCAGAATATCATGCATTTCTTTAGTAGTATTTACCTCTTCAGAGATCCGTTCACGTTCTTTCGCAGAAATTCTTCCTTTCCGTCTCTTTGGCGTTGGTGTACCTTCTGGAGGAGAATTCTCCGCGGTGTCCTCTAAGCGCTTTCTTTTCGCGCTCATTTTAGAGAACTGCCTAAATACGTAAATTCAGTCGAATAAGCGTAACTACGAAAACAATCGTGATCACTCAAATATCCGTCCGCTGACAGTAAATCATTTGGCCATTAGAGACGACTTTTTTGGTACGGCAATGAACGGAAAAAAAGAGATTGAGTGCATTGCGATTTATGACTACCATGACGATCGATCGTACTGAATCGTGAAAAGGAAAAAGCGAATAATAATGTGTGATTAGACTGGTTGCATTGGTTGAATATGCTTTAAAATTCATTTCGGGACATTCCCAGATGGGTGTTTCGAATCCGAACCAGGAAAAAGGCCCGACGCCATGCGATGTGGGTCTAAGTAAGCGCCGCACATGAGAGAGTACGTAAACCGCGGAGGCGCCAGTGTAGCGAACCAAACGCGCGCCAACGTTGACCCAGCCGCCGTAACCAGTCAATAAATCGATTCCCGGCCTGTTCCCGACTAGATTCAACTATTTCATATACCTTTGTCAACTCTATAACGGTCTCGATCCTAACTGTCAGTGGCAGCTTGTGAATGTCTCGCGTTTCCACGGAAGTGCTCGTGTTTTCATTTTTTCAAGATTCTTTGATTATTGATTAATTCCTAGCGATGGGCTTCCACCTTCTGGATTGTTCTGCTCGTTCTGCTCCCACGACCTCTTCAAGTCACTGTCAAAACGTTGAAAGCTCCTACTACGCTCCCAACACTCAGCTAAAACCTTTCACCATTGCTTGGCGCATTTCGGGTGCTGGCACGAATTGCGCACGCCCCGTTTGAATTAGCTGGTTGCGCTAGGCTGCACCTGGCGCTGCTGTTCAGCGGGACTGCCCGAGTGATCGAATGGTAGCTTGAGAGCAGTAATTGTATATGGCTGCAAGTGACATATATTGGAATGAAATCAGGATCCTACATAAACGATGCAATGGGGGTTGGGGTCTGTTGTGGGTGAAAGAGCTCGGGAGCAGCGTATTGACTGTTCTCATCGCGCACCCATTTGCCCGACTTTTAAGAAAATATTTGGCTCGTAGCAATTAAAATGTAGGATAAGATATATGTCTTCGAGTAGTTCCTCCTGAGATGCGCCATGTAGCCGACATTTTTTTGCAAGTTCGTGGAAGGGTTCTCTCGTCCAGACAAAAAGCAGATTAGAGCAGCTAATGCTGTCTTTTTTCACATACTTTGCAGCACACATTCTTTCTCTGAAAGTCACCTGTTATGAGGTTGATTCCAGATTCCTAGAGGCTTTGATTTCCAAAGTCAGTTGTTTCAAAAGCCGTTTGCTCGAGGCCCGTGTTTTACTGCGGTTTATTTTTCCATTGAGATTAATATTGGTCCAACTTTTTGTCAAATTTCAACACTTCTTTTTGAACAGCTTTTCTTATGAGTGTGTTACTTGGAATATTAGGAACATTTTTGGTTGAAAAGAGCATCAGAAAACCTATTATTCCAAGTTAGAAGTTAAGTCCGAAGGTTCAGTACCCTTGCAAGAGGTGCTTGTCAGGAAATTTTTTCTTACTTTTAGACAGTAGACACGTTTTTAGACCAAAATAGAACAAATACCGACATCCATATGAATCAGACGCTTTCCAGAATCGAACTAAATATAGTAATAATGCCAAAAAAATGAAGTACATTAATGACAACTGATGGTGATTTAGTCCATATTTTGGTCGGCATCTAAATAAGCACGAATAACCGGTAGCTGCTCAACTGTTCCAGGGAATTTTCGGGGAACCTTACAATATTCAGGTCTTAGGAGGGCTTGAAAGAAAAAGGAGGAGGAAAAAAGAAAAAGAAGGCTTAAACATGTTAGGGAGTTGAGTTAGCATAGATTGTCGTGATGGTCACCACGCAAAGTGTAACCCTCCTCCACCCCCCCCCCCCCCCCCTTTCCACCTTATCTTCATGTTTGTTGTTTAGCAAAGGTAGTCATAGGCGTTGTGATGGGCGTCAATATTCGTAAATGATCCACAGTACTCACATATCATAGTTGTTGGCTGGAAAGGCGTCAAACAAGTTCCATCGCCTCCACTTTTTTCTAAAAACTTTGCTGGCATTCATTTGTTACTCAAGTCAGAGAGCCGCTGTTTTTCCCTATGCGTCTAGGCAGGAACAGGGTTTGAGCATCTGCGAAGCACGACAAATCTCCCCTCGGCTGGCGTTCTCCATGGAAGGCGAAATGCCGGGATCCGAACTCTTGGTCACGCGTGTGTGATAGTGCGCCTCTTGCCGCTACACCACCATGATCCATCATCACTATGACCCATCGTAAGACTCAAGCTCTTCAAAGCTTTCTCTTAACTATGGCGACTTTCTCTAAACTCCGTAATAACGTGGGAGCAGGTTAGGAAGCTTTTATGCCAACACTGGTTATAACTCCGGCATTTTCACCCATTTTGGACGCCCGGTTTTTCGAACCTGTTGCCCATAGCAGGTGAAAACCACGATGCCTTCGATCGACTTATCAATTGAATGAAAGGCTATCCTTAAAGCATGCCTTGCATTCCACATAAGTGTTGACTGCTCGCTTGCCCTTAGCTATTTTTATCTCGGATTTAGGAGCGTTTGGAATCAAATTATGGATTTTTCAGCTTGAACAGCATTGATTTTGCCACTCGACTTACCCGTCGCAAGCGTGGCTGCACCCAGTGTATTTGCTCGGTACATCTTGACCCATGTCACATCCATCTCCAAATCTACCTCTCCAAGTGATTTTGGCTCCGAAATTACCTTTTCCTAGGGATTGTTCGGAATATCGTAGCTCACTCTACTCGCACCTCGAAAAATATCTTTTGTAATTCTCCATTAACGATCCCCCATATTTCGTGTTACGTGAAACTGTAATGATTTGTATGACCGATTCCAGATGGAAGCAAAACGTATCAGACTTGATCCAGAGGATGAAGATTCTCGGGATTCGAATTCGATGAGTTCATGTGGTGGAAATGAATCAACGCCAAGCACATCTAGTTCAGCTGAAGTGAGCGTCGAAGATTTGAAATCTTCGGACCCATTAGTGATTGAAAAGGCTTTGAAAAAGCTGAAAGGAATCCTCAGAACCAAAGCAGCTATCGTAAAATTCATGACTGCAAGATCGTCAGAAGTATTTCCCGTGCTCATCGCTCTTCTCATCAAAACCTCTACCGACATTCCCAATCAAGTGTTAGTGATTATTCATAAAAGGCTGTATTTTTTCTTTATAAAGTTGTACAGTTTTCTGATTCCAGTCCGCCATGGCTTTCCATACTAAGAGAAACGATTAGCGTAATTGCCAACTGTTGTAATTATTCCGTTACTGCATGTATGAAGATGGCTGGATCAAAGATTACTCACATTGCAGGTTCGTTCTACTTTTTATGAATGCTGTCACTACGATTTTACTCTTGGACTATTTTTAAAAAAGACTAGATATCAACCAACTCGACAAGTTAGATTTTAAAGTCCTGTGAACGTGTGATACAGTAATCCCCACAATGCCCTTCTACCCACCACGAGGACCTCGTCCAATGCCTTTTTGTTGTGTCGTATATGTGACGGGTGTTGAAGGAGGTGTGGAGGCGCCTGGGTGGGCTTTTGGGTTACTGTATAACACATGCATGGGACTTTAAAATCGGTCTTCTACCAAATAAGCCTCCTAGTAGTTTCGAAAAGTTCGTATCTGCCAAGTGATAGTTGTATGTACAGCATGCCGCTCCTAGTGCCACTAAATCAGATTACTGCTGATGAACTAGTCAATTAATAAAGTAACGACTCAATGGTCACTCTAAATGCTTTAATATCCTTTTTCCCTGTGATCTTTGTTAGGGTCATCCAGGAGTTCCTCACAGTTACCTTTTTAAGTCCCGTAAGCCATTTCTAAAGGATACTATTGTAGAAAGAGGAAATGAAGTGGAATCAACTTTTATGGCCTATCGCATGGTGTTATTTGCTCAGATCCTAGGGCACTCCATATAATTCTGGCAATGACTGATAAGAAATTCTTACTGCGAGCAGATCTGGTTCTAAGTAATTGATGGCCCATTTAGTAGGTCATTTATTACCTTTTACATTCCCGTAGGACCTTTCAAGGAAATTGCTAAAAGAAGGCGTAGAAACGTAGATTGTTAAAAGTTCCTGAATGAGCGCATTGCATTAGGTCTTTTGGAACTTTTGAGCCGCTCTTGAGCGTTCTCCTTCAGATGGCATGTTTGTAGCGGGATTCTGTTGTATTTCAGTACGCATATTCGAAAGCAGTTCGGTCAAGCAAGAATGTAAAACGTCAATGGCTCGCCTAGTCGCCAATATGTGTATGCATAAGGTAAATTTAGTAGATTCTTGGCCACATGTTTTTTTTAGCGCTGTTAAGAGGCTAAATTGCTCGTTAGAGGCTTTAATGTTTATGCGTCATCTATCTAATTCACTTATCCGGCACATTAAAGGCACAGTTAACGATAATTCTGAAGTACCCGTTTTGGTCAAAAAGCGGAAGTATAGGTTGGAAATAGTTCATTGGTAGTTTAGAAAGCTCGAAAATTCGCTAATTTTGAGAAAAATATGGGTCCTTAAAAGCAGTGAAAATAGAGGTGGGACGAGATTACCATGATGGAAATAACGTGGACGAGATTTCACTTGCTGCAATTGCGCAAAGAAATGACTATATCAAGTCAGAACTATTCAGAACTGCCCTCCTTATAGCGCCCTACATAGGTCGTTTTCCGAAATGACAGCGCTATGTATGGTATACGCGGGGCCACAAATTACTCCTAGAGGGATATCTCATAAGCTTTTTATCGTGAACTGTTCCTTTAAGACCGATGTAGTGGACGCTTGATTCTGTTTGTATAGCTTCCTCTAAAAATTATCAACAACGGCTGTTTGCTTTCGAGTGACGTCCAATGGTGTAATGACTCCGTGAATGATAGAGCAAAAACGTATTTGGTCCTGAAATATCGGAACGGTACGGTACTGAGCCTTTTTAAATAATAGTACAACTATTTTCCAGGAACCTGCTGGCTGTATCGCTTCTAATTCGTCACTTGTCGATCGTTTAGTCCTTATGCTAGAACCTGATGATAGTGCTTCCACGCAAGCACTACGAGCAGTTCGTGGGCTCGTCTACTGCTCATATATGAAGGTACGACCTTTTATATTGTAGCCTTTTAGTTTGGTTTTACCTATATATTGGCTTATCCTAGTCCCCCCTGTAGCCTGTAGCAGAGGCTATCCCCCGTCCTCAAATTCACTGTATAAGTAGCACCTCGTAAAGTGTTGTCACGTTCGACACTGTACAAATACTAAACAAAATTTATCCATATAATCTACAGACCCATAAAAAATCAGACGGATGTACATGGAATGTGCACCGGATCAAAACTAGTCTTAATAAAAAACTGTCGCATAATAGAGAATTATAAAAACATAGGACAGATTGTACATAACATGACCATTGCTCCGGGAAATACTTGATACATCTCTACTTCCCAGTAAATAATGAAAAATTGGACTTACAAACATATTACAACAGAAGCAATGGTTAAAAAAAGACTTGGCGGCTACGTCTCTCCCTCTTTCTCTAACAGTTTTTCCTTGGTTGAAAGACATTACCACTGGTGTGAGACGGAGGATGATTGTAGTGAGCCTGATGAGTTGGTATTGGTTTGTCATGAAATTGTCTCACTGCACTTGTCGGATATGATTTCTCCATCTAAATATGAGAAATTCATGAATCAGCAGAAAAGGGTAAAAGGATAAGTATGAATAAGAAGAAGTGCTACCTGCGCTGGTAAACTGCTATCCCTTTCCACGACCTCACGTCCAGCTTCATCCGAACTTTCCGATGAAGTTCGCTCAGTTTCCGACTGACGACGATCCTTGAACGGGTTTTTAGCTCTACAATGGAAGACCAAACCGACTACTCAAATTACCTTTTTATTCACAACTCTACGTCCTCCAACACGTTCCGCGGGGAGATGACCCGCTTTCAGTTCGGGCTCTGTCACAGCAGACATCACTACTCTGCAAAAGTTCCTCTCATCGAAAAAGCTAAGAACAAAGTATTGAAGAAGAACGGAGGCGAACCAACTAATACGACGGAAACATATACGAAAGGCGACATATTTTGCCGAAAAATAGAAAACGTGCGAAATTACATATACAATAGCCCGTGACTATCATCCTTTTCCCATATCACAAGTGTCCATCACAGCGAAATGTGTCAGTGTACCATAAACCAGCTTCCTATGCTGAACAAGCGATTTGGCTTATCTTTACGAAAACATCCTGCCACCGCTCGGTCCACTTGATGCATAAATAAACGTGGAGGTAACCGAAATAAATCGAAAGTAGTACAGCCGGAAAAGGAAATGACAAATAGTTAGGACGACTGGGAGTTGATTTTTGTTTGAAGGAGGGGAAGGGGAAACGACAATCTCCCGCAAGGCCGTTTCTCTAAAGAAGGAATGACCTTGTCTGAGGTTGTCACTTTCCCTCCCTTACTACAGTAACGTGTTCAAAATGTGGAAGTAGGAGCAAACTGCTGAATCAGTGGATCGAAAAACAAAAAGACGGTGTAGTGGGAAGCGAGTGTATCGGAAAAACTGGCTTCGAGTTCAAGAGACTACGACCAAATATGGAATTAAGCCAAGGGAAAGGGATTAACTCTACCCTGGCAAGCTGACAGCCAGGTCTGGGCCAAAACTGTCCGGGAAGATGTCATAGGAGATCGTCACCGACCGCGTGTCACAGCCATTGCCGCACCTTCTCTGTGTCGCTGTCGCTGTTGTTTACGAAGGCTGCCAAGCTAGAGCGCCGAGAAGCAGAGTGCTGTGGGCAGACACGCAGAGAGATCATGTGGGGAGCCGTGGCGACCACCCAGAACAACCGAGGGGGACACTGCAAATGAAACACGCGGATGTTTCAAAAAACGGGATGTGAGCACTAAGAAGGGATTGGGGCGCAATTTCAGAGACATTTTAGTGTGATAGTTCAGGCGTATTACAATAACCTAATTTCTGTGGAAAGCAGTTCACCCATGTGGGGCTCATACAACCTATGCCTAGCCTAGCATACCCACTCTACGAGCTCTCAAGTTGTCGTGGTTCTGAGTGCCTTGAGTGCGTTGCACTGAAACCACCCATTGTTGTAAAACGCCTGAGTTACGATGGCTCTAATGAGAACCATACGCCGTTCATTAAGATTCCATTTCACTGCAGAGGGAAAATGTTGAAACGGGAGATGATCAATGCAGGAATTCCTTTCCAGGTCGTGCTTCTGTCAAATGCTGGTCACTACTTGGGAAAGATGTTGGCAGCAGGAAAGAATGCGACCTGTGTGGTGGAAGTTTTAACGGCTTTGGCGAGAAGACGAGTACGAGACATCGGCAGGCAACTGGCTGGCAGGTAGGCGAACACAATAGAGAAACAGAGTAAACGGTGACAACGATAACGATTTTAATGAACAACTAAGCCGCACCAAAGATCGCGCTCTGCCACATGACTCACCCACGGGATTGCTCCCGCGCTGGCACGGTCCCAATCTTCCACAATGGCATCGGCCTTCCATGACTCACACTTGAACGGATTTGGAAAGAGCAGCCTCATAGATCCACCTAGGGGTTATTTTTTGAAGACCTATTCCAACCTGGGGGTGAATTGAAGGCCTAGACCAACTTGGGGGTTATTTGAGGTCTTAGACGGAGTCCGATCTGGAATTTGATCCCCACACCAGGAATCTGCACCCCTTCTCCCGGGCTACTTCTACGTAAAGCATAGAAAATTACTGAATACGTCTTTCGCCTAATATTTTTTTTTCAACCTGTTCTAATTGCTACTGTAAAGAATCGTGAGGTGCCCAGGGTGCTCAACAATGCAAGTCAAAGTTTTTCACCCAATTCGGCTCGGGTACAAAGGGTGGAGAAAGCTAACCTTTGAGAGGTGGTTGGGGAAATCAAAGCTGCTAGCGTGCAGTGCCCACCATCTTGGTTCTCAGGCTTGCGACACTTGCCAATGGATGGGTAGTAAACGCTAAATTAGTAAAATACAGCTTTGTTTCCAGTTTTTATCGCCAAGGACCGCATAAGTCTGAGGAGGTGGCCTTGGAAAGAATTTCAGACAAAAGAGGCTTATAGCCAGTAGCCTATTGTATTACCTATAAGGGAACGCGTTGAGTGAAGGTAATCTATGTAGGTAGTAAGAAATAGTATGGTTTAGGTAATAAGGGTATAGGTAAGTGAGATAGTGGGATGATGTATAGGTATTGGAATAGGGCGGATCAGTTAGGATAGCTGAGATTTCGAATACTCGACTATTCGCGAAGAGGTGTGCGACGGTGAATAACCTTGCGTACACATTCGTTGTGCCGTACACATCTAGAAAACTGAAAAATAAACTTTCCCGAGCATAATCGTCGAAACGAATTACCGTCGAAAACTGAAATGAATGGCAACTTGCAACTACCAAATTTTAAGGAGTATTGCGGTGCTGAAGCTTTTTTTTTTCTAGGAATTTTCCGAAAATCAGAGTTCCCCTAGGGGTGCTTGAATTGTTGGAGTTGTCAAGCACCCTTGATATCCTTCCCTTACCTCCTTTCACGATACTTCACTTCCTTGCTCCTCCATCATCCCACCGTCTACTGTTCACTCGAACATTAGCGGATGTCGTTGGTACGGAGATCTGATCTCCTGTGGTGTTAAATGATATGAATGAACGGCACAAAAGCGATGACTTACTTGTAGTTGAGGTGGCTACTACAATAATAAGGAGAGATAGAATGGAAAACTGGCTGGAGGAACTTTTGTTAGCGGTGGCTGAAGGAACAGACATAAGAGAAGGCCCGAGAAAGCGTGACGAGCGATAGTGGTTGCTGATGTGCTTATAGCCAGCTAATTTCTTGTTCGACAAACCAGTTCTGCTTCGCTCAAACGCCTTTTCCCTAAAAGTCACGGTGGTGACCGTTTCACTCACGTATTACATCAAAAGGCAGCTAGACAGGCTTGGTCGGCGCAATTCCTGGTAGCAGAGCCTTAGTGAACAGAGGAACTTACCAGAGTTGAAGGGAAAACTAATAGCCATACATAATCTCTAATTTTAGTGATTGCGCTGGACATTTGCTCAAACTTTTCTTCTCAGACGAAGTTCAAGGAGCAAAAGAACTTGCGCTTATGCTCTGTGAAGGTTCTACGGATATGAGAGATAGGTGAGGACGATTCTGATAAGGCAGAGAGTTGAAATAAATGCCTATATCCTGTCTAGGATGGGTGATGCACTGGCCATACAAGGAGTTGTTGAATCAGCTGATGACAGTGCCATGAACTGTAAACTTCTGACAACATTTGCCCAGGTACGTCCTTACACGATGATTAAGCGGAAATGAATCAGATCCACTTTTTTACCAATTTACGATGAAGTCAAATGAGGCCCCGAGAATCAATCAAAAGAAGTATGGGGGTAGTAGTGAAGAAGTGTAGGGTCGACAGTGAGGCCAAACCCCCTGTCCAATACTGTGTCCCCCCCCCCTTTCTTGGTTCTTTCTCCATTAGTGACTTTTCACCCTTCACCCAGTGATTTCGAGCTTCTGTGAACAAGGTGTCTTCAGTGGTACGGTAGTTCCAAGTATGTTTTAGGAAGCATGGGGTCGTGCTGCTCTTCGGGAATCAGGAGCCCTCGACTTCCTCATCTCGCGTCTTTCGTCAACCTCTTTCAATTCTAGCGACAAGCTTGCTATCGTGCAACCACTTCGTCACTTTATACATGACACGAATGGTAACTTTTGTTGTTTATTGCTATTAATTTTGTTTGTTAACAACTTTGGCAATTTGTCAATTCAGACCGTGATGAAATTCTCCTACGATTCGAAATGATGACGTTGAAATGATTCATCTCTAAAGGAACTAACATCGCGTCCTCTTTTTTTGGCAACATTTCGTACAGGGAGAGGAGGCGTAGGGACAGCTGTCCACTACTAAGCGTATAGTTCGGGCATCGAACCCCAGATTGATACTCACCCAGCTCCATTGAACACCTACTCCCACCGAGTACGGTAACTAGTACCTAGATTGACTAGATTCGTCTGGGAGAAGGGGAGCACCTACTTATTATAACTCGCCAATGCACAGTAGCAGTAAAAAAGCGGCTGCAGATTAATCGGTTCAGTCGATGGGCTAATTTTTGAGCTTTCTAGTTATCTAAAGTGTTTGCCTTGAATAAAATTGAAAATTTGTAGTGACCCCTCAGAGGAGCTTTCAAAATTAATCTGAAAACACTCTAGGAATGGCTCATCTGGTTCGCAATCGTGTGTTCATTAACACAGTGATAAAAGATGTTCAGGAATTTCTGGCTGAGTTCAAAGTGGAATGTGTGGTACGATCTTTTTCTTTCCAGTTCTAGCTCTGACCTTTATCGGTTGAAAAGTAAGGAAGGGGGTTTTTTCAGCCGGAGATCATCACGGATGAAGAATTATATCGTCCTGATAGCCCACTGCTCATGGAGATCGAGTCCGGTCTTCAGAAGAAAAGCGATCGTGAGGTAAAGCAAGCGTACAAGTGGGTAATATGTGGTGTAGTTTCTATTACTGTGATGGTTTTAGGAATCTTCTCGTCTTCACAAGGATTACTCGTTCCTTTGGGGTTACACCACACCGTCATCACCAGCTCATTCAACATGGAGTTATCCTTTGTATAGCCCGCCGTCAAGTGGTGCTGGAAGCCCTTCCTCGGCCTTTAGTATTAGCCCCCTTGCAAGGTGACTGGTTACCTCTTAAAAGAAATTTCCGCTTGACTGACATATCATGACATTTAGCCCGAACTCAAGCCACGGACGCCTAAGTGATACAGGTTTCGATACGGATGAAGGAGAGTCGTTGAAAGGCCACGGTGACATTCGCAATGAACCCCAAGCCAATCTCACTAATAACGTGCTGGCAGAAAAGGTTCCAACCGTTGACTTCTTCCCTAGTTTCCCAAGCCTGACTGTGTGGATCATTGCCCTATAGTTTCAGGTGATTGAAAGCGAGCTGTGGTTACTCACCTGGCAGGCCCAGGAGGATGCGAATTTGCCGTACCTTGGCAGGGAAGATATTGTGGTGAGCACATTTTATTGCCCACTTTTTTCTCAAAGGAGAGATTCTCGAATCATTGTTTACTGTTTACAGAACACCATTCTTTCCTATCTTTCCCTCGCCCCATCACCTGACTACCGTATCGGGAGAGTTCTTCGTCGCCTGGCCTGTTCCCGTTTGTCAATGGATTCTTTGCTTTGTATGCAATTTCACACACGAGTTCTACACACGCTCTGCATTGTCCCCTGTAGGGTGGTTCGGTTCGTTCTGATGTGATTAAATGTGTGCAGTATCCAGAAGAGATACTGGTATGATAGGTGCTACTTCCAGTTATGCTAAGAGGTGCGTTCGTTGCGAAAGAGCTGCAGAGTTCGGAAAAGAAGTGCTCAGGTAATTCAGATGCTATACTTGATGTAGGGTTTCCTAGTCATAAAAGAAAGGAAACGGTTTTTAGCTTTAACTCTCAACATCTACAGGTAACCAGTAGCTTTTAATTTTCTTCCAAGGATGCCCAGTCAAGACAAACTTCGGCCTCGGATTGTATTTTTTGCCCAGGTTGGTGTGATGCCAAGTAGCGCACATCTTACGCATGGTCAATGGATCCTATTCTAGATTTATTCCCTTCCAGACCAACTAAGTCTTTCATCTCTTTGCTCGGTTAATCGGTTTTGGCTCCTTTTTGAGTAGAAGAGCACTGATAGACGTAGGCTGGTTATCGTAGGTTAACCCTTTGACGACAATGCGGATTTCGACCTGACGCGCCCATGGGACCCGTCCCCTCCTTTCGCGCGCGGCTGGCACCCATCGGTGGGTGGCACTGTCCCAGGAGAGAACTCTTACACTGGCTTACTGAATTTGGCAATTGGTAAGAAATAAGTAAGTATGGTGGCACCGAAAATTGGGTCCTATGCGCCAGTCATAGTGGCACCCACCGGTGGGTGCCATTGTCGTCAACGGGTTATTGTTCAGAGCAAAATGAAAATGTGTATTCAAAACGCCACTATAGTTTTGAATGGAAGTCGGATGCAGTGCGCATTCAAAGAGACGGGGTTGACCAAGTGTATATATTTCCCTCCTCTGCTAATTGGTACTACAACCAGTTGGCTGATTTTGGGGGTGTACATGGCTTCTGTTGGATTTAATTCTGACTGTTCATGTGATCGCCACTTCCCAAGTTCTTCTTCACTGGAAGATGACTATATGTAAAGGAAATGTGAACAACACTTGTATCAGAACTTGTGTGTGAAGGTGTTTTTGGACACAGACTGGCACATACCACCCCATGTTCGTTTAGAGAGTTTGCCAGCCATGTGGATAGCGATTTTGGTGACTCGTTTCTAGTCAAACGGCTGTCCAGCGACGACTTTACCACACGAGTTGTTGCTGCTATAGCTAAGATAGCTCTAATCAGGTATAACCTCTTTTTCCGATTGTTCTGTACTCTACGAGAAGTCAGATAGCCTTGTCTGGGTGGCCGTGCTAACAGGATCCTCGTTTAAGGGATCGTTTTCGACTTGGTCGCATGACGTCAGGCCAACTTCCAGCTTTAGATCTACTGTTCGAATCCATCCGTACTCTATTGTTAAGGGATGACTTCCCGGCAATTGCTAATGACACCACCTATACTGGCGGGGTTAGTATTTTCACTCGCTTTTCTATTCTGGACCTATTCCCTAACTATAGCTTTACAGCCTCCCCTTTGCGCTCAGATAATCGGCGCTATATCTACCCTCATCTCTCCTCAGCGGTTACGGTAGGTTGTTAGGTTGGCAGTGCAGGATCTGTAGTTGTAGTGCCCAATTCTTGTGTATTTAGGCAGATTTTGGAAATAGATGCTGCTGTTCGCCCGCAAGAACGAGGACAGTGCATGGTGGAGAAGAACATCACCAAGTGGGTGATTTACGATTTTGGTGGTCCACTAGTTGGAGTAGAAATAGTTCCCTTCAGTCCCGAAGAGAATATGGAGATGTTGGTTTTCGAGACCAAGGAGGGAGAGGTGCTAGCACGAGTATCGATGGATGCAATCTGTGGTAGTAGTCAATACTTCCAGGTAATTCAGGAGATCCTTTGTAGAAAACAAGAAAATTCGAAAATGTTTAGGGCATGTTTACATCGGATTTGTTCGAGAAATGTAGTGGAAGGCGCAGATTTTTGTTTAATCCAGAAGAGGAGGATTGCACTGCCGAGGATTTTACTCGTTTTCTGCACTACCTGGCTGGTTGCAGATCGCAGTGTACAGCGATTTCTTCGGCGCACACTTGTGTTGCACTAATCAGGGTAAGTATTACGGTAGCAAAAAATTAAAATCGGAACAGTTATGAGTTTGTTCAGCTTATGGGAGTGGTGGGAGTGAAGGTTTTTCAGTTCGAGTCTACAAGAATCCCATACCACAGGTGACATCCGTTTACATACATAGTAATGCGCCTCCTGACGACTGAGGGTCGTTTCTTATGTTATTCTTCGCTAAGGGAGCATTACGAGAACTTCCAAGACGGCTCCTTCTTTTGCAATTTTTCCTTGTTTCTTTTGTTGATTAGCGGATCATCCATCCCATCCATTTTATTCTCAAGCCCATGCTTCTTTAAGAGAAGTAGGTTTGTAGGTGGCGGCAAATGGGGATGTTATCATGCTCGTGGTGTAAGTCAAATCCCTCGGTCTAGAGCATAGTAGTATCCATGAAGGGTCAATGAATCTCTGAGCAGCTCCATTTTCGACTGGGTAGCCGCATATTTTCTATTGCGACAAGATTCATGATTGTAATTTGGTCTGGTTTATACTTCGGGTGACCCAGCCAGTTATTATGTATGTATTAATCTCCCTGAATATCTCGACGGCAGTTAGCGGTCGTGATAGAAAGGATTGAGCAAGTCTGGGCTTCTGCTTTTTATTCGTTTTTATTAATGTCGTTGGATTGTTAACGTAATTCGCGGTTTTAACAAAGGTGATAGTTGAGTTTCAGCTGTCAGATCGATATCTTTGTCCGGCTCTTTCCGAATTCGTCTGCTCACCGCATGGTCCAGTACGTCGAATTCTGAGTGGTGAAACGTTACCTGTATTTCTTCCCGTTGTACTACTCGCTCAAACACACGAAAGGTTCGATTTATTCTTTTTTTTTCTCAAATTTAGGTGCTATTTGTAAACTGTAAGTAAGTAAGTTGTTGTTCCGAAGTAAGTTGTAAATTGTCAGGTGTTGTTCGGGGCTTTTTGTAGTTAATTGTAGTCAACTAGTAGGGAATTGATGAATTTCAGGTTGGTAGCGATGTGTTTGTTGACGTTAATACGATACTGTACGAGCTCGTTGGTTGTGGATGCACTACGCTCCATCTGCCAATCTCAACTTCTAGTCGACACTTTCATAGAGCAGATGAAAGCTCTGACGTCATCATCACAATGACAATATTACAAGTATTATAGTACAGGTCGAAATTAGGTGTCATTTCCGTAAACGAAACCAGTGAATTAATAAATATTTCGGGATTGTTCTGTAAATAGAAGCATGTGAGTGTTCTCGCTAAGGGTAGATAGAAAGGACTTGCGAAGAAATAACTTTACTGATATGGCTCCACACGCAATACATCAATGGCTTAAGTTTCGGCGAAACCGTCTTCTTCAAAGCCTGAAAGGATGGAATCAAACGTAAAAATAAGCCATTAAGGGATTGTGAACCTCATGGGGGTTATATCTACAAACAACAATGCCCAGGTTTTTCGAGAGCCGCACGTGGTGACTTGCAAATAGATTGAAATTCGCTTTTAAATTGGCGGCGATTAGGTGAACTGGCAACTACTTCCAACTTCATTTTCATGGATTTCTTTTTTTTGGGCCATTGGATTTTTGCATATATGCAGAATTGGAAGTGTATGTTGGACATAGGCATCCATAGAAGCTGTCAAACAAATGGTTATTAGAGCTCCCAGGAGCCAGAAGCTCCTAGAAACACAGTATTACTACATGGTTTACTGTAATCTCGTCATCCATAGCTGGCGCCGTTGAAATCTTTGCACATGTCTGATGTGACAATCTTGGTCAAGGAACTAGAACTATGACGAACTATTAATCCCACCAGTATGTTGTCTTCTAGGATAGGAGAACAGTCCAAAGAGCCAAATTCATAACCCATCATTCTGAGCCATCATACTGGACTGAATGGAGTTTTTGAGAATAATAGACTTCTCAGAATATTATGAAAAAGTCACCGGTCAGGTACATGAAGGTTCTGATGGGAATTTCTTGAGCATGTGAAGCACATGTGGATCGTTTGTGGGAAAGGTATTTCAACGACAACTACGGAGATGGTTTCATGGGGATTCACCAAGACATACGAGTGTTTGATTGTGTACGGGTAGCGGAACTTCTCCCCGAATTCCAACGACCTGCGGCAGTGGTTCCGCGGCGACTCTCCGTACCATTCCATTGAAAATTCAAATCTTTCCCTTCATAGGGCGTGATCGCCTGCGGCGAGCGCGACATGCCGTTCGGGGAGAAGATTCTAGACCCGGAGATGTACAGGGTGTCCCAAAATTATTTGCGCCGATTTATAGCAATATAT